CGAGCCACAGACTTGGACCCAGGACATTGCCGCCCCAGTGACGGCGGATCTCATTGTATCTGTCGTTGTAGTATGGTCCTGATAGCTTCCACCAGCTAGCCAAAGCGCCTTTGTCTTCCGAGTCACCTGTGTGAAGGCGACAGTGGTGCAGTCTTCTGTGTGACTAGACGGCCAGTCTGCCTTCCCTTGATAATGCAGTAAGGACCCCATTTTACGACACAGGGCAGGCAAAGAGACATACCAGCTCGATGGGATCCACGTCATGTGCAATCACCCACCAGCTGAGCCTTCTTGTTCTCCACCAAGGTGGTGACGATGTTAACTCCTGCTCGAAGGACAGGTGGTCTCTTAGTGGGACATCCCCTTTGCCGCAGCTTTCTTCTCGGCCCGGGCCAACAGCCTCTGCTTCTCTCTTGTTTTGTTCTGGTCTGTACTTGTGGCCAGCTTAAGCAGCTGAGTAGCTGTTTGGCGGCCAGGCCTGGGTGAACTGGTTAATAGCAGGAGGCACTTTCAGCCGCTTATAGAGGATGGCTCTCTGCCGCTGCAACCTGATATAGCGAGGCCTATTCACAAAGACGTGTGAGTCTCTTTTGCTGGATGTCCTGTCCAATGCCAAAATTCTTAGGTCTTTTCTCAACAGGGGATTCACCACTTTCTTGGCCTCCTGCTTTTTCACGACAGCAGGGCCGGAGCCACCTTCTTTCCCTTGGCCTTCTTTCCTTTCGGCATCTTGGGCGGCGGGGGAGGAGAGAAAATATTTTTATTTTTGAGACAGAGTCTCATTCTGTTACCCAAGCTAGAGTGCATGGCATGATCTCTGCTCACTATAACTCCGCCTTTGTGGTTCAAGTGATTCTTGTGCCTCCGCCTCCTGAGTAGCTGAGATTACAGGCCTGACCTCCACGCTCAGCTAATTTTTTTGTATTTAGTAGAGACGAGGTTTCACTATGTTGGCCAGGCTGGTCTTAAACTCCTAACCTCAAGTGAGCCACCTGCCTCAGACTCCGAAAGTGCTGGGATTACAGGCATGAGCCACTGTGCCGCCCTAGATCATTATATAGGACACAGTTTAGGAAAGTTTAATAGGACTTTAACTGTTTTTTTTTTTTTTTTTTTTTTTTTTTTGTCTTTTTTGAGACAGGGTCTCCCTCTGTCACCCAGGCTGAAGCACAGTGACACAGTCATGGCTCTCTGTAGCCTTGACCTTCTGGCCACAGCAATTCTCCTGCCTCACCATCCTGAGCAGCTGGACGTACACGGCACACCACCACACCAGGATAATTTTTGTTTTTTTTTTTTTTGGGTAGAGACAGAGTTTTGCCATGTTGCCCAGGCTGGTCTCAAACTTCTGAGCTCTAGTGATTCACTCACCTTGGCTGCCTAAAGTGTTGGCATTACAGACATGAGCCACCCACTGCACCTGGCTGAATTTTAACTTTTTAAAATGTAAGGTTTAATGTATCGTTATAATGATCTGGGCCGAGTGTGGTGGCTCATGTTTGTAATCCCAGCACTTTAGGGGGCTGAGGCAGGGGGATCACCTGAGATCGGGAGTTCGAGACCAGCCTGACCAACATGGAGAAACCCTGTCTCTACTAAAAATACAAAATTAGCCGGGTGTGGTGGTGCATGCCTGTAATCCCAGCTACTTGGGAGGCTGA